AAACTATAAATTAAATTCTCAAAACTATAAATTAAATTCTCAAAACTATAAATTAAATTCTCAAAACTATGAATTAAATTCTCAAAACTATATATTAAATTCTCAAAACTATAAATTAAATTCTCAAAACTATAAATTAAATTCTCAAAACTTCAACTAAAACTCTCGAAACTATAAACTAAATTCTCAAAACTGCAACTAAAACTCTCAGAACTACAAACTAAATTCTCAAAACTGCAACTAAAACTGTCAAAACTTCAACTAAAACTCTCAAAACTGCAACTAAAACTCCCAAAACTTCAACTAAAACTGTTTTGTTGCAACTTTCCTTTGCATGCATTTGCAAGTCTACGCAAGCGTGACTGTACGTACACCCTGGCCCCAAGTGCAGTGAAGCCAAAGGCCAAAGGGAATGCACTTGTGAATTGCTGCTGCTGAACTTGTGAATTGCTGCTGCTGAACTTGCGAATTGCTGCTGCTGAACTTGTGAATTGCTGCTGCTGAACTTGTGAATTGCTGCTGCTGAACTTGTGAATTGCTGCTGCTGCACTTGTGAATTGCTGCTGTTGAACTTGTGAATTGCTGCTGCTGAAGTTGTGAATTGCTGCTGCTGAACTTGTGAATTGCTGCTGTTCAACTTGTGAATTGCTGCTGTTCAACTTGTGAATTGCTGCTGCTACTGAACTTGTGAGCTGCTGCTGCTGCTGAACTTGCGAGCTGCTGCTGCTGCTGAACTTGTGAGCTGCTGCTGCTGCTGAACTTGTGAGCTGCTGCTGCTGCTGAACTTGAGCTGCTGCTGCTGCTGAACTTGAGCTGCTTCTGCTGCTGAACTTGAACTTGTGAGCTGCTGCTGCTGAACTTGTGAGCTGCTGCTGCTGCTGAACTTGAGCTGCTGCTGCTGCTGAACTTGAACTGCTGCTGCTGCTGAATTTGTGCTGCTGCTGCTGCTGAACTTGTGCTGCTGCTGTTCAAAACAGGTTTTGGGGCTTTCCGTCGCTCTAGGGCAAGCCCACGAGCGGCTGAACACTCTGACGCGGGTGTGCGACCGGCTGGCTGGAGGAGTTTCCGCGCAGCGGTGAAATCTGCACAGAAGTGCATGCAAGAGGCCTCAGAAGAAAGCCAATAAAAGCTGCACTTAATGCATGCAAGAGGCTCCTGAAGATCTCGTAAAAGCTCCACATTAATGCAAATGAAAGAAGCCAGAAGATGGTCTGGTAATATCTGCATTAGAGGCGCCAGAAGAGGTTTGGGCTGTCTCTACAGCGAACTGTGCAGAATATTCGCAATTCGGCCGCCTACGGCTGACGGGCTCAGGCCAGTGTTTCCACTAGTTTTATTTTGAACTAAACGGAGTACAAGATCTGAAAAGAACTGCTAGTCCACCCGAAGTTTTGCACAATAGGACACGGAATTCTTCCGTGTGGCAGCGCCTCGAGGGGTGCTCGCGGGAGTGTTTCAAATGCTGCAGCGCAATCTGCTGCAAACAGCACTCAAAAAGGGAAAAAGGAAGCATTCGCCATTTAATTAATGCAGCAAAATGCAGAACTTTGCTTGAAAGTGCGGCTGTAGAGTGTGGACTGCAAACGACCGGAGTTTGGGGTGTCCGTACACCCGAACGCCGGATGTTCGTAAGCTGGTCTGAGCGACTGCAGATCAACCCGAAGAACGAACAGCACTTTTGTCTTGAAAATATTTACAGTTTCCTCAAACGCCGTAGTCCCGGCAAGTGCGAGAAGTGCAGTGTTTGTTGGCCACTCTTCCATCACTGACACGCTGAAAATGAGGGGGGAAAGCGGCGCACTGACATGGCCAGAAGAGGTAAATTAGCGCTTTCCGTGCAAAAGCGAAGGCTCTTGAGGACTTATGTTTGCATTTTAAACAGAAACGAGCATTTCAAAGTACGAACAGCTCATTTTGCAAAAGAAAGCTGAAGTTCAAGTCTGTTCAGCCGCGCTGCACAGAGTTTCGATCACTGCCTTGTTGGCTCTGAGCCGCCGCAGCCTGGCCGCCGCCTCCGCCCCGTCTCCTGCTGCAGTCCAGTGAGCATTTTTGTTTCAACTTTTATTTCTGCTGCCACTTAGCTGCTGCTGCTGCTCCTGCTGCTGCGTCCAAGTGCAGAGTTCCTTCCGCCAGCGGGCCGCAGCTTGAAGAGCTGCCGGCCAGCGCAGCTCGCTGCTCCCCTTCTCTCGCTGCTGCAGCAGCAGCAGCAGCTGCTGCTGCTGCTGCAGCTGCTGCAGCAGCAGCGCCCCGGCCGCCGGCTTGTCGAAAGCGCAAAACAACTTATGTGGGGGCGGAACTGACAAGCGGCAGTCGAAGCTCAGTGAGCAGCAGCCCACAGCAGCAGCAGCAGCAGCAGCGCAGGCGGTGGCAGCAGCAGCAGCAGCAGCAGCTGCTGCTGCACCCGCAGCAGCTGCAGCTGCCAAGCCCAAAAGACCCCTCTCTCTCGGACTCCCCACAGGACCCCGCAGCAGCAGAGTGTGGGGCGGCTTCAGCTGCTGCTTCTTGCTGCAGTCTTGATGGCATAATTGTGGTGGGATACAAATGAAAATAAAAGAAATAAAAAGAAATAAAAAGAAATAAAAAGAAATGAAATAAATGCATGCAACACTTCAGGTGCCTGGATGCAGCTGCGCGCTGTGCAGCTGGGCCGCGCACATAAACTCTTTGGCCGTCCGAAACATCTTCAACCCTCTGCAGCAAAAGGGCTAGCAGCAGGCTGCTGCTGCTGCTGCTGCTGCTGCTGCTGCTGCAGCTGCTGCTGCTGCAGCAGCAGCAGCAGCAGCTTGTTTGGAGGCTTCCAACAAACATTCGCTGCTCAAGACACTTCTCCATTCAAAAACTCCACAAACTGTTCAGAAAGTCCTCCGCCCTAGAGCAGCACAGGGAGCAGCACGCAGCACACATAAGTATAATATATATATAGATATAATATATATATTATATATATATTATATATATATATATAACAATGTATATTATATATATATATTATAAAATATATAAATGCATATAGATAAATATGTATGTTCTACATATATATAGTATAGTATATATATAATGCATATATGCATGTAAATAAATATACAATATATATAATGTACATAATATATATTATATATTATATATATGGATATAAATAGACATATTATATATTTCATGTTTGCGAATATGCATTCAAAAACATGCACTGACAGCCCACATGTTTAGAAAGCAGATAGGCTTTGGAGTGTCTGTACACCGATGCAAGTGCACAAGTGCGCATGCACAGAAGTGTTTGTCACATTTTTGAAAACATAAAAGTGCATGCAATTGTGCATGCATGCATGCATGCATGCATGCATGCATGTGCACGCATGCATGCATGCATGCATGCACACAAGCAGCAGCAAGAAGTTCTGCGCTGCCACCTTTAAAGAACGAATAGCAGCAGACCACACTTGCAAACGCATGCAAACGCATGCAAGCGCATGCATGCGCATGCAAACGCATGCAAGCGCATGCAAACGCATGCAAACGCATGCAAACGCATGCAAACGCATGCAAACGCATGCAAGCGCATGCAAGCGCATGCAAACGCATGCAAGGGATTCGTTTTGTTGTAGTTTTGGAGTCACCTCTTTGCCCCTTTCGCTTGGCCTCTGGGGGAGCCCAAAGCGCTCTCTGTCTTCGTCGCTAAACCCCAAAACGTCGCAAATCAAAAAAAAGATTTCTTCGCGTCTTTTTATATTTCCCTGGCCCGCAAGAAAACAAAAAGTGCAAAAAGGGAAGCAACTCTTGATGTGCTGCTGCTGCAGCAAGAAACGCATGCGCTGCTGCTGCAGCAAGAGACGCATGCGCTGCTGCTGCAGCAAGAGACGCATGCGCTGCTGCTGCAGCAAGAGAAGCATGCGCGCTGCTGCAGCAAGAGGTGCATGCAACACTTGATGCGCTGCTGCTGCAGCAAGAGATGCATGCAGCACTTCATCTGCTGCTGCTGCAGCAAAAGGTATATGCCACGCTCAACGCGCTGCTGCTGCAGCAAAAGATATGTGCAGCACTTAATGCGCTGCTGCTGCAGCAAAAGATATATTTTCAAGTTGAAAGCTACTTTGCATGCACTTGGCAAAGCTGTGGCAAATGCAACTCAATTGCTTCTAAATATCTAAATTAAAATGTTTGAGAATGTTTACTTGAGAGAAAATGATGCATTAAATATGAAATGAAAAGCAAAAGCGGGGCTTGTGCATGCAACTGGAGAGGCGCCGCGTGTACAGACACCTCACGTGCGCTTCTTGGTACTTGGCAATCATTTGCGCTACAATTCTTTTGTCTACAAAATAGTCCTGATCTTCCACTTGTGCATGCAGCTTCTGCAGCAGCTTCTGCATGCCGTCCCTGATTGCAGAAGCAGCAACAAAGGCTTGAATGCCAAACCCTAAACCCTAAACCCTAAACCCTAAACCCTAAACCCATGCCATCCCTGATTGCAGAAGCAGCAACAAAGTTTTGAATGCCAAACCCTAAACCCTAAACCCTAAACCCTAAACCCTGAAACTTGATCTCCGAAACCTCTTGAACTCACGAAATAGTTTTGTTGTCCGCTTCATATTTATCTGCTGCTGCTTTTGCTTCGTCTCTTTGCTTAAAGGCCTCCTCTAGCTTTCCCTCAAGCTCTTGAATTTGCGTCTTGAGGGTTTGGTTCTGAAGATGCAGAAAAACAAAACAGAATTTGCAAAAAGTTTCGAAAATATTTAATATTTTTCATTTAATTGTTTCAAATTGACTCACTAAATTCAAATCATTTTGCATTTCCTCCAATTCACTTCGAGCCGTCGCCAACTCCGCGCGAAGTCGACTGACTGTGCCATCGCAGTCTGTCTGGACACCCCAACGCAGCAGCAGCAGCAGCAGCAGCAGCAGCAGCAGCAGCAGCAGCACAAAGTAAAATAGTGTGAGGGGATAAAACAAAAAAAGAAAAGATTAAAATAAGACAAAGGAGAAAAAGATTCAAATAAAACAGAAAGAGAAAACAACAGAGGCTTTAAATGGCCACTGAGTTTCAAACTCTCTCCTTCACTATAAACAGGAAAAAAGGTGTCAGTGAGATATTCATTTCAAACGCCAAAAGAAAGAAAAAAACACTTGAAGAAATAAACAAAAATGTGGAAAAAAAAGAAAAAAATCCAAGAACTAGATAATGTTTCAGATATTTGCTTCAAATACCACGAGAAAGAATAAACTACTTGAAGAAATAAACAAAAAATGTAAAAGAAGAAAATTCAAGAATTCGAAAACACTTCATTAAACGCCAAAGAAAGGATAAAACATTGGAAAAATAAACAAATGTAAAAAAGAAAATTCAAGAATTAGAAATACTTCATTAAACGCCAAAGAAAGAATAAAACATTGGAGAAATAAACAAAAATGCAAAAATAAAATTCAAGAATTAGAAAACACTTCATATAATTGTTTCAAACGTCAAAGAAAGAATAAAACATTGGAGAAATAAACAAAAAATGTAAAAAAGAAAATTTAAGAATTAGAAATATTTCATTAAACGCCAAAGAAAGAATAAAACATTGGAGAAATAAACAAAAAATGTAAAAAAGAAAATTCAAGAATTAGAAAACACTAAAAGTAAAAAAGTGCAAACCTGAACTTTTTTTAAAACCCGCGCATATTTCTCAACAGCCAATTTGGCCTCCTGCAGTTCTTTTTCCATTGCGTCTCTTTCGGAGTGGGCTTTAATTAATTCGACTTCTGATTTTAAATGCAAAAAAACAAATTAAAAGAAATTAAAACAAATTAAAACAAATTAAAACAAATTAAAATAAATTAAATAAAAGAAAATGAAATCAAAAAGTCCAAAGGGGAAGTCAAAAGTGTACAACAATGGCAGGCCACAAAACACTGCTTTTTGTCTTCGCCGTTTTCAAACATTTTCGAATTTTAAAAACGTTTTTGAATTTTAAAAGCATTTTTGAAAAACACTTTTGAATTTTAAAAGCATTTTTGAATTTTAAAAGCTTTTTTGGACTTTTAAAAGCATTTTGAACTCTCAAAATGTTTGAACTTGGCGGGAAATTGAGAGAAAAGGCAGATGTGGAAGAAGAAGGAATTGTTTTCTGGAAAATTGCTTTTAAAAAGTCCAAGTTGGCTTTTTCAGAACCTGAAATGCTTTGGATTTCTCGAATTTCTTCAAGTCTTCCACTTTCGCGTTTGACAGTTTCCAGTTCTTTCTCAAGTGTCTGTACTCTCTGCATGCAAAGTTGCAAGTGGAAACAAACCCAAAATAAAAAAAACTGTTCTCATTTCAGTTCCTTCTTTGCAAATTAAAACTCTTTTCCAATTTTAATGTCCGAACTTTTAAAAGTGACGAGACTTTGCGCAGAGAAGAGTCCGCGCACACTTTCTCGGGTGTACGTACAGCTGCGTCCCCTCGAAGCTCCGCCAACTCTTCCAAAGCTTCTTGCAAAGCTCGAGAGACAGAAGCATGAGAAGACTGAACAAAAAGGAAAATAGATGAAATTAAACCTTTATTTCCAATTAATTCAGCTCTGCATGCATGCATGCATGCATGCATGCATGCATGCATGCATGCATGCATGCAATCCTGGGACCAAGTGCTTTTGCAAAACCACAAAAACTCCATTTTCTGCATGCAGTTTTGTTCAACTTTAAACATCAACTCTGAGGAATTCTAAAAGACTTAAATGACTCTGCATGCATTCGGTTGAGACATAATAAAAGTCTAAAGTGAAGATATAAAAGCAAAAGCTTGAAAGGAAAAGTTAAAAAGACTAAAAACGAAAGTCAAAAGTGTAAAAATAAAAGAAAAGTGAAAGTCCAAAAGTCCCAAATAAAGACCAAAAGAAAAACATAAAAGTCTAAAAGTCCCAAATAAAGACCAAAAGAAAAACTTAAGAGTCCCAAAGTCCAGAAGTCCAAAAGAAAAGAGCAAAAGAAAAGTTTAAAAGTCCAAAAGTGGAAAAGAAAAGAAAAAAAAACAAAAAGTGGAAAAGCAAAACTTGCCTGCCAAGAGCGCAGCTGCAGCAGCAGGTCTTTGTTTTCGCTGGCCAACTCTTCTGAAGACTGTTGAATTTTATTTGAACTTTTTTTTTCGAAGTTTTCCAAAAGTTCTTTGTACAGAACTCTGCAGCAAACGCAGCACTTCTGCAAACTCCGGAAAGTTTGAACAATCTTTTTATTTTAATTATTTTTATTTCTTTTTTCTTTTTTTATTTCCACAAACCTAACTGTCTCGAGCTGCTCCGTCACTTTTCCCAGTTGCGTCTTCAGCCTTTCCGTTTCTTCGCTGTCAGCCTGTATTCCAAAAAAGAATTAAAAAGAAATAAAATGCAAATGAAGTTAAATGGAATAATAATGGAATAATAAAGAGTGAGGAATTAGAAAATAAAAGTATTAATCGAAAGACTTAGTCGAAACAGAAATGAACAAACTGGAAAAGAGAATGAAAAAGATGAATTCCTGCAACTTCCGCCCGATTTCGCATTTAAACTTCCCGTTTTTTCCGCATTTATTTCAATTTTATGATTTAAATTCATTTTAATTCTTTTAAATTTATTTATCTCGTCAAAAAAGAGAAAACGAGAAACGCAGCTGGGCTCGCTGCATGCGCAATTGCACGGGCGCTGGGGTGTACGTACACCCGACCTGCTTCACTCTTTCGCGCTCAGCTTCCCTCTGCTCTTCAATCATTTGTTGAGAATCTTTTAAATCTTCAGTTAGTTCCATTACTCGCCGCTGCAGCGCAGCAGCTTGGTGCTGCAGCTGCTGCCGCTTGGCCATTTCCTGCAGCAGCCGCCGCTCAGCCTCGGGGGCCCCTGGGGGCCCCTCGCTGCTGCTGAGGGCCTCTTCGCCTTGTCTAGGAGTCACTACTGCAGAGCTTCCGCGGGACAAAGTCCCCCCTGGGGGCCCCCGAGGCGCTCGAAAGCCCGCTGTTGCTGCTCTCTTCAGCAGCTGCTGCTGCAGCAAGGGCCCCCGCACAGCGCACGAGCTTTTCTGCTGCTTGTACGCATTTGGTCAAGGAAAAAAAACCCCCATTTGGGTCTTGCGGGGCCCCCCGGGACTCCGGGGGGCCCCCCTGGGGGGCCCCCCCGGGGGGCCCCCCAGGGGGGCCCCCCGAAGACTCGAAGCCCCGCAGCCAGCTGTACAACTCGGGGGGAAGAGTCCGCGCCAAAGGCCGTGACAGCAGCTGCTGAAAAGACGCAGAACCTGCAAACCCAACCCAAACCCTAAACCCTAAACCCTAAACCCTAAACCCTAAACCCTAAACCCTAGATGGAGGCCTTCGCCCCCCAGGCTAGCTCGTGGCTAGCTGGCTAGCCAGGCCAGAACCTTGAAGGCGAGAAGCATTTAAAATTCGACTAAGAGAAAAGTTGAAGTAGGGTTTGGTTCTGGAACTAGGGTTTGGAATTAGGGTTTGGAATTAGGGTTTGGAATTAGGGTTTGGAATTAGGGTTTGGAATTAGGGTTTGCAAACCACCTTGAGTGTGCCGCCACTCGCGGTTTACGAACTCCGCCTGATTGGCAGTTCGCTCGAGAGAGCTGCAGAGGCCCTCGAAGATGTCCCAAGAGTCGAGGCCCGGGCTGGCTAGCTGGCTAGCTAGCTGGCTAGCTAGCTGGCTAGCTGGCTGGCTAGCTAGCTGGCTAGCTAGCTGGCTAGCTAGCTGGCTAGCTGGCTGGCTAGCTGGCAGCCCCAGGGCCTGCGCCAGCCGCTCCAGCGGCTGCGCCACACTCTCCAGCTGCGGGTCGCTCGCGCTGCTGCTGCCCCTGCTTCCTGCTGCTGCTGCTGCTGCTGCTGCTGCTTCCGAATCCCCCCCCTGCTGCTGCTGCTGCTGCTGCTGCTGCTGCTGCTGCTGGGAAGACAGGCGGGAGCGCAGCTGGCGGCACTCCCTGCGGAGGCTGGCTAGCTGCTGCGCATACTTGGCAGTTTCGGCCTCTGCAAAAAAAAGATTGGAATTAAAAATAAATAAAATAAATAAAAGTGGAAATGAAATAAATGAAGTTTAAAGGAGCTGCAGAGCTGCAGGGACTCAGGGCTGGGGTGTACGTGCACCTGAAAGCTCCAGCTGCCGCGCAACAGCTTCCTGCTGCGCCTTCTGCTGCTGCAGCAGCAGCAAGTCCCTGGAGGGGCCCCTCTGGGGGCCCCCCAAGTCTTCTTGTTCTTCTTCTTCTTCCTCGTCTTCATCTTCAGAAAGCAGCACCTAATTCAGAAAAAGATCCAAACCCTAAACCCCCAGCATGAGCTCCGGCTGGGCGCGCTTCCGGGCTCCGCACGAGGGTTTAGGGTTTAGGGTTTAGGGTTTAGGGTTTAGGGTTTGGGGTTTGAGCTTTGTTAGGGTTTTGAGTCACCGCATTTATTTCGTTGACCGCCCCGCGAATCGCGCACCACGCATTCTGCATTCTTGAAGGTGATCTGAACAGCTTTCCGTCTTGAGTGCAAACCCTGGACTTGAACTCCAAACCCTAGGCCTGGAAAGCTGGCTCGAAGTGGCCAAAATGCGCAAATTTAAGAATAAAAAAGAATAAATAAAAGACATTTCGAAGGGAAATGCAGACTTTAAACATTTGTCCCGAGGCTTTGCTCCCTGCATGGCTGGGGGGCCCCATAGGGGCCCCCGACTCGCGCTCGGTCTTTCGTGACCAAGTTCCACCTCTTTTTCTTCAGTTTCTTTTATTTATTGCAATTAAAATATTCAAACAAAACGTTTGAGCGCAGTGTCATCTCGTGAGTCTTTGCTTTCCCTCCTTTTCAGCTCAAGTGCATGCTCGCCAGCCTTGGCTGCACAGAACAAGCGAAGGAGCTGCAACAATTTCGGATTATTTCGTTTAAAAACAATCTTTTGGTTTTTATTTTGCATTTTCTTTGTATATTATTTATTTAAAAGCGACTTTTGGGTCTTTTTCTCATTTTGCATTTTCTTTGTATCCCCCGCTGTCTGCACGCACGGCATTCCAGAATCCCAGACCAAGTCCTGAATGTTTCTTTTGCCCCTCATATTTCACATAAAGTTGAACTAAATTTCATTTTAAATACAAAAAACAATTTTTTAATGCAAAAGGAATATCTCTGAAGGGTCTTTGCGCCAAAAACAGCGCTGGAAAATGCTGTTTGTTGCCTTAGTTGCCAGCATTCCAGTTGCTTTCTTTCTTGTGCTGCCACCAATTCCAAGTTGTTTTCTGTTTTTAAAAAGCTGCTGAAGCTCTTCAGCACATTTCTAAAATGATTTACTTTTTGATTTATGAATAGCACAGCTCTGCCCCCTCGAAACTCAAAGAAGAGTCTCGACAAGACGCATGCTGCAGCTAGCTCGTCTCTGCTGCAGCAAGCTAGCTGCTGCTGCAGCTAGGTTGCCTCCGCTGCAGCAAGCTAGCTGCTGCTGAAGCTAGCTAGCCTGCTGCTGCTGCAGCTAGCTAGCCGCTGCTGCAGCTAGCTAGCCGCTGCTACAGCTAGCTAGCCGCTGCTACAGCTAGCTAGCCGCTGCTACAGCTAGCTAGCCGCTGCTGCAGCTAGCTAGCCGCTGCTGCAGCTAGCTAGCCGCTGCTGCAGCTAGCTAGCCGCTAGGCTTTTGAAGCCCTCTGTAGCTGGAAGAATGTCCACTTCAAGTCCACTCATTTGTTGGTTAGAGTCAACATCTGATCTAAACTATTTATATTTTCTTTTGTTTTCACTAAGTCAATTTTCTCCGGAGTTTCTGTTGTGACTTCCCAACAGCTGCGCCGCCGCGCGCGGCCACACACTTCAGGTGTATGTACACATAAAACTCTCAAGAAACCCCAGACCCTGCAGGATCCAAAAAGGGACTTCACTAACATTTCCAGCAGCAAAGCAGCAGGAAATCCCTAAGACTGCAGCGCATGCAGTTGAAGGGGGCCCCCGGTGCCTCCTTTGGGGCTGGGGGGCCCCTCGGGGGCCCCCAGAAGCTCCTATGAGCACCTGAAGCCCCTGGGGGCCCTGGGGGCCCCCTGCAGCCCGGGGGGCCCCAGCTGGGGGGCCCCCAGCTTGGGGGCCCCCCGCTTGGGGGCCCCCTGCAGCCCGGGGGGCCCCAGCTGGGGGGCCCCCAGCTGGGGGCCCCCAGCTGGGGGGCCCCCAGCTTGGGGGCCCCCAAGCTGGGGGCGCTGTTGGGTATTTGTACACAAGGCACTAGTCGTTGGTGGCCTTTGCCTACAACGAAGAGAAAGTCTTCGTGGTCCACAAGCAGCAGCAGCAGCAGCAGCTGCTGCTGCTGCTGCTGCTGCTGCTGCTGCTGCTTGCGGCTGTCAATAGACGGAAAGAAGAAACAACAAAGAAGAAGTTTTTCTTCTTCGTGCCGTTTGCCTCAACTGTTCAGAAGCTCGGAAACGCTGTAGTCATATAACCTTGCTTTTCGCATGCTGCTACTGCTGCGCGTGCTGTTATTGTTGCTGCTGCTGCTGCTGCTGCTGCTGCTGCAGCTGCTGCTGCTGCAGCTAGGAATGCTCGTTAGCTTGTCGCACCGCCAGGCGGCAGCGGCGGCAAAGTTCTTCCCAGTCGACTTCGGGGAACTTCTCCCTGAGCTGCTCCCCCTGAAAATAAAGTTCAAATAAAAACAAAAAAGAAAAAAGAATTAAATAATACAACTTTAAAGAGGAAAGCCCCGCATGCAGCAAACGGATGAAGCCCGTGCATGCAATTCAACTTCTGCATGCGCGTGGGTCTACGCACACACCAAAACGTGAAAATCTGAAAATCAGAAAAAAAGATAAAATGAGAGAAACTGGGGGAAAATGCAAACAAAAAAAGCAAAAAAAACAAAAACTGAGACAAAAGAAAGAAAGAAATTGAGGAAAAGAAGAAAACGAGGAACTGTTTTGCATGCAGACGCAAAGACACAGGAAGACTCGCAAGTGAATGGAGGAAAAGACTGCGAAAAAGGGAATGCAGAGAGCGAAACAAAACGCAATAAAACGGAAAAGAGAAACAAAAATAAGCACAAAGGACTTCACTCAAATAGCCGGAGAAAAGAAAAGAAATGCGGAAATTCAAAAACACCCAAAACGCACGCAGAGGCAGCCACAGCTCCCGACGGCGGCAAACGAGCATAGCGAGCGAAAGGCAGCGAAACACCCGGAGAAAGAGAGAAGAAAGAAAATAAAAGAAAAAGGAAATAAAAGAAAAGAAAAGGAATATAAAAGAAAAGAAGAAAATGAATAAAAAAGAAAGATAAAGACCTTGTTGGCGTAGGCGAGGAAGTGCACCACCCAGGCGCCGCGGTCTTGGCGCTGCACGCTGGTGTCCACGACGATGCTGCACCAGCCCTCGATGCAGAGGCTGAAGCGCGTGGAGCAGCGGGGGTCCAAGTCGATGGAAAGGGGGTTTATAATCAAAGAAACAGAACCTAAACATCCTTCTAAACCCCCGACTTCGTAAGCCCTTCGGTCTCGAAACCAAAACCAGTGGCCCCTGTACAGAAGGAAGTACCGCGCGCTCCACCGCACGCGGCACCGCGGCCACGAGCTCCCCGGCGCCGTGTGCACGTTTCCTGCAAACAACCCGAAAACGCGAAGTTTTCGCTCCTTTTTCCCCGATTAACCGAATAATAATAATGAATTTTTCATTTAGTTCACGCAAAGCAAAAAATTTAAACGAAAAGCCAACGAAAACCACGAAGATCGCGTCGAAACGCGATTTTCCGAACTTGAATTGCAGCTTTCCCGCCGCAGCAAGTTCACAACCCCCGCGACTGCAACTTTGCGGAAAACTGCAGAACTTCGAACTAAAAGCACTTAAAAACAATTAAAAACAATTAAAACAATTAAAAACAATAAAAAACAATTCAAACAATTCAAAACAATTCAAAAAGAAAAGGAATTCAAAAACGGCTCCGCACCGTGGTACAGGGGCAGCCGGTCTATTCCCAACTCCCCAGTGCTGTCTTCGAGCAAATAGCCGTTGAAAGCTTTCGAAAGTCTTATTGCAGAAGCAGACATTTGAACAGAAGAAAACTGTTTAATTATAAGTCTTTGAAAGGACTTGCTGGAGATGGGGTGTTTCTCCTGGACGTAGGTTGGCTGCCGCTTCACGAAGTCGGGCTCGGCCTCGTGCTGCTGCTGCTGCTGCTGCTGCAGCTGCTGCTGCAGCTGCTGCTGCAGCAGGAAAGCCGAAGTGTCGTACTGCAGCATGGGCGCGCCGCCCCCGCTTTCGTCTTCGAAGGCGTTTATGATGTCGCTTTCCGTGTTGCAGGGGTGCAGCGCGAGGCTCGCGAACTGCTGCTGCAGCAGCAGCTGCTGCTGCTGCTGCTGCTGCTGCGCGTGCTGCTGATACGGCAGCGGCGAAGAAGCATACTTCTGCAGCGAGCCGCTCGCGCTGCTGCTGCGTCTTGCTGCAGCAAAGCGGGCGGAGAGGTCGGGGAGGATGCTGCGAGTCCCCCAGGCGCTGCTGTTGTTGCTGCTGCCGTCGCTTTTGGCTGCTGCTGCTGCTGCTGCAGCAGCAGCAGCAGCCGCTGCTGCTGCAGAAGCTTCCCGCGGGCCCACTGCACCAATGGACCACTCGGCCCCCGGAAGGAAGTGACCATCCTCCCTCTTGGCCCCCTCAGGCCCTTCCATTTTCGCAAACTCGGAATTAGGGTTTAGGGTTTAGGGTTTGGGGCACACGGAACCGCCATGCCTTTTGCTGCGGGGAAGCTCGCAAACCCTGAGACGAAACCCTCGGCCAAACCCCCGGCGCAAACCCTAAACCCTCGCCGCGGCCAGCCGCGGAAGCCCTGCTGCGGGCAGCAGCAAGCCTCGGCGCGCCGCGAGGGTTTAGGGTTTAGGGTTTAGGGTTTAGGGTTTAGGGTTTGTGTGGCAAAGGGCGGCTGCGCTCTCGCGAAGGCCAGCCGGCCGCCTGCAGAGGCAGCGCGTGTGTTTACGGGGGCGGTTTGAGAGTTTGGGAAAAGGTTTCATGAAAAGCCAAACCCTAAACCCTAAACCCTAAACCCTAAACCCTCAGCCACGCCTGGCGCGCCCCAGAGCCCGGGGCCTCCAGGACAAGTTCGCTGCTGCTGCAGGGTTTCCGGCGGAGTGGTCCAGTGGTCTTGACCAGCGGTGAAGCGAAGAGAAGGGGTAAAAACAGCGGAAACGGAGTTTTGCACAAACCCTAAACCCTAAACCCTAAACCCTAAACCCTGCGGGGGCCCTTGGCTGGTCCTGGTTAGCCGCGGCCTCTCGAGGCCCCAGCGCGAGACGGGACCCCCGCGCCTCGCCAACTGCAGCAAAACTCTGAAAAGGGGAATTAAAATCTTTTAAAAGATTTTAAAAGTACTTTTTACTTCTTTGAATTCCAAGTTTTTCAACTCCGGACTCAGAAAGCTGCGCTTTCCCCGCGGCCTCGGGCGCCACCGCCAGCCAGTTCTGCTGCGTTCCTCTTTTGCAAATCTGCTGCTCTCAGCTTTCCACTTTTGCAAATTGCTGCTGCTGCAGCGCCAAAAAGCTGCTGCTGCTGCTGCTGTTTGCTGCTGCCAGCCGCTGCTGCGCTGCAGCGCGCCGCTGGACTCCGCAGCAGCCACGGCTGCAGCGCCAGCCCGAAAAGCAGAAAACCCGCAAAGACAGCCTCGAAAAACGAAAAATTCAAATTGCAAAAACTCAAAAACTCAAAAACTAAAGACGGAAACCGAAAGACAGCCACTGACGGCCGAGCAGCAGAAAGCGACTTCGGCGGAAAGCGCTGGACCACTTTTCTGCACAAATCCGCTAATTTAATGCAACTTTCCTGGCAAATTCAGACAAACAATCAAAAAACGAGAAAGCTCGTAGAGATCCAGCCTTGATTGGAACGAAAATGAAGCAAAAATGAACTTCTCCCGCCGCAAGTGGCGCTTTCAACTTGCAGTGGCTAAGGGGTGTACGTACACCTCAGGAAAGGAAAGAATCCAACGCATATTTGCAACATTGATTATTTGCACCACTTTCTTTCCGTGTGCGAATTTGAACAACTTATTTGCAGATTCTAACTCTAAAAAATTGGAGAATTACTTCGGGAAGTGCATGCAGTTAAGAAAGTTTGTGCAAATTCAGACATTTCGGCTAAGTCGTGAGCGGTGATGAGGAAAAAAAAGAAATAAAAGCATTTTTTTCCTTCCGTTATGAGGGCTTCCCTCTAGTTTGCATGCATGCACAAAAGTTGGACAATTGGGTTTTCTGAAAAGATTGAATTTTCTGAAAAGATTGAATTTTCTGAAAAGATTGAATTCTGAATTTTGTTTGCATGTTTTTGTTTGTCTGGGCTGCGAGTGGACAGCGCAGAAGTCAGTTTCGCATGCGTTTGCAGACTTGGCAAAGTGCATGCAAATGTTTTTTATTTCTTTTATTTCTTTTATTTCTTTTTATTTCTTTTATTTCTTTTATTTTTTTAAGTTCAACTTTCTGGACTTTTCATTTGCCACTCTTTGCTAGTGCTGCAGTAATGCTTCTGCACTTGTCCAATTACTATCAGCAAATTCGAAACGCGCCGATCTTCGGTGCCGCTCATCACCATCTCCACCTGCACCACCAAACACCCAAACCCTAAACCCTAAACCCTAAACCCTAAACCCTAAACCCTAGCGGTTTGGTTAAAACCCTAGGCCAAATAACCCCGCAAAACCCGCACTTCATTCTTGAAGTGAATTCAACTTTCCGAAGAAAGCTGCGCAGCCTTCGCGGGCGCTGCGCTGCGGTGTACATACACCGCAGCTCACTGCGGTGTACATACACCCCAGCCGCTGCGGCCGCCGCTCACCTCTTCTTTCAGTTTTTTCAAATTAATAAATTCTGCATATTTGCGTCCGAAGAAGATGCAGCGCAGAAACAGAAAGCGACTTCGCGCAGGCGAAGTTTCCTTTATTAGATCTTCAATTAAATGGACCATCAAAAAGTGCAGCAACTGAAAAAACAAAAGAGAAAAAGACAAAAGACTCTGCGGACTCAGCCAAATAAACGGGACTGCCAGGCCCGCGGTTGGGGGCTTTATTGCGGGTTTAGGGTTTGTTTGAGGGTTTAGGGTTTGTCTGAGGGTTTAGGGTTTGTTTGAGGGTTTAGGCCCTTTTTGAGGGTTTAGGGTTTGTTTGAGGGTTTAGGGCCTTTTTGAGGGTTTAGGGTTTGTGCTAGGGTTTGGGGTTTTCGCCACCTGTTCTGCTTCTGTGTCGGTTGGCATTGGCGCCGATGCTGCTGCAGCTTCTTCTCTCCTGAAACGCAAACCCTCGAGTCCTAAACCCTAGATTAGCGTAAACGCCGGCGAGCAGCCCCAACAAGCCCCAAACCCTAAACCCTAAACCCTAAACCCTAAACCCTAAACCCTAGACGACGCACGCATTTTCGCACGCGTCCAGCGCGCCTCTGAGAACTGTTTCGACCAACTCGAGCTGCCCCCAGGAGTCTGCAAACAAAAGAGTTTTCGAAGTGGATTTGAAGAAAAGGAAAAAGTGGCAAACCCTAGAAAAGGGTTTGTCAGGGCCACGGGGTGTACAGACACACCGCGGGTGTCTGCGTCCTCCCCGCACAACTCCTGGAGCACTCGAATTCTTTGCAGAATTCCAGTTTTCAGAAATGCATGCAAAGTGAGGGCAGTCCTGCGGAAAAAGAAACACAAAAAAGGGTTTATTTCGAAAAAGCGGAGGTTTCGGAACCCTTATACGCTGATTTAGGGTTTGCGCCACTCGCCGCTGCTGCGAAGTGCTCCAGAACTTCCGGACGGCCTGCAGCACCGCGGGGTGTATGTCCACTTCACTTTGAGTTGCAAAACAAACAAAAGTTTGCAAATAATTCGAAAGAATTCTATTTAAATGAGTTTGTGTTTTGCTTCCGAAAGACAAAAGACAAAACACAAACAACTTCAGCGCCTCCTCGAAGCTCCAGGGGGCCCCCGCGGTGTCTCGACAGCACGTCTCCAGAATGGAAGTGTCCACAACTCGGGGGGCCCCCCTGACTTCTTCTTTTTCTTCCATCATTCCATCTTCTGCTGCTGCTGCTGCTGCTGCTGCTGCGTCTTCTGCTGCTGCTGCTGCTGCTGCGTCTTCTGCTGCTGCTGCTGCTGCTGCGTCGGCAGCTTCTCCGTCCAGCGTTTCCGCTGCTGCTGGCGAGTTGCTGCCGTTCATTGCTTCTGCTGCTGCTGCGTCTTCTGCTGCTGCTGCGTCTGCTGCTGCTGCGTCTGCTGCTGCTGCGTCTGCTGCTGCTGCGTCTGCTGCTGCGTCTGCTGCTGCAGCAGCCTCCTGCTGCGCTCCTTCTGCTGCTGCGTCTTCTCCTTCTGCTGCTTCTGCTGCACCCAACGGCGCGTCAGTCTCCATGGCGCCTTCTGCCTCTGCACACAACCACCGAACCCTAAACCCTAAACCCTAAACCCTAAACCCTAAACCCTAAACCCTAACCCCTGAACCCCAAACCCTAAAAACCAAACCCCAAATTTTAAACTCAAACCCTAAACCCTAAACCCTAAACCCTGGACGAAATGCGTGGGGCTTTTAGCCAAGAAGAAGGGCAAAAGGCAATTAATTTGTTTTAATTTCCCACTTTCTTCCGAACTTTCTTCAACTTGAAACTTCTGGGGAGGCACCAGAGGCCCTTTGCTTTTGTGGCGCCCCACAAGAGACACCAGCAGTCTGTACACCCCAACAGCACTTTCTTTCTTTTCCTCTTCTCCTCCAAAAGAGAACTTCAGCATTTGCCGCAGCAAAGAAAACTCCACAAGTCCAACGGGGGCCCCCGGGGGGCCCCCCTGGGGGCCCCCCTGGGGGCCCCCCTGGGGGCCCCCCTGGGGGCCCCCCTGGGGGCCCCCCGAGGGGGCCCCCCCCGCGGGCTGGGTGGGGCCCCCCTCCTCTTTTTTGTCCCCTTCAGACCCCTGGGAAGGGCCCCCAGGGGGCCCCCCTGGGGGGCCCCCAGGGGGGCCCCCTGGGGGCCCCTCAGACGGGGCAGGGTTGAGGTAAAGATAGGGATTTTGAGGGACTGCTCGGGGAGGCAAAAGGTCCTTTACACAGTCGGGAATAGCCAGGGCCTGAGACCCACAAGCAGCAGCAGCAGCAGCAGCAGCAGCAGCAGCAGCAGCAGCAGCAGCAGCAGCAGCAGCAGCACAAAGCGCTCATTTATTATAAAGCCCTGGTGACCGCTGGTTACTAGCAGAGGTGTCCATACACTGCAAAAGGGCACAACCCGCATCCACCGCAAACCCCAACCCCCAAACCCTAAACCCCAAACCCTAAACCCTAAACCCTAAACCCTAAACCCTAAACCCTAAACCCTAAACCCTAGCCCACGAGCGCGTCTGGGTAGTTGATTCGCATGGCCTTCTCCAGGGCCAACTTTATAAAGAGCTTTGTGGAGGGGGGCCCCCTCCCAACTCCAACCCATTCTTCCAGCAGCTTGCTGGGGCCCCCCCAGGCATTTAACCAGTACCCAAAAAAGTCCGCCAAAGTCTGCAGCAGCAAACCCACTGCAGCACAGGGCCCCCTGCTGCAGCACGGGGCCCCCTGCTGCAGCACGGGGCCCCCTGCTGCAGCACGGGGCCCCCTGCTGCAGCACAGGGCCCCCTGCTGCAGCACGGGGCCCCTGCTGCAGCAGCAGACCCCCAGCAGCTCGGGGGGCCCCAACTGCTGCAGCACACTCTGCTGGGGGCCCCCTGGGCACTAGGGGCCCCAACGCCGTCAGGGGGCCCCTGAGGGGCCCCTCTGAGGGGCCCCCTCAAGCTGAGGGGCCCCTGTAAGGTCTGCAAGATCAGGGGCCCCCGCAAGATGAGGGGCCCCTGTAAGACGGGAGGCCCCTCTACCCCGCCCTGAGAGCTGCTGGGGGCCCCCAGGGGGCCCCCAGGGGGCCCCCTGGAGGTCCCCTGAGGCCCCTGGGGGCCCTCTGGGGCCTCCTGAGGGCCCTCTGGGGCCCCCTGGGGGCCCTCTGGGGCCCCCTGGGGGCCCCCTGGAGGCCCCCTGAGGCCCCTGGCGGCCCTCTGGGGCCCCCTGGGGGCCCCTGAAGTGCGCGGGAAGCGCGCGCTGCACTTGCTGGGTCAAAAGGACTTACCAGAAGTGTTTGGTGGTCCATGTCAATAGAGCGACGCACAAGACTTGTAAGAAGAGTCTCAACAACAGAAATGAGAGGGTTTTGGAGCTGGCAGAGGCGGTGCAGCAGACGGGCGTAGGCAAAGGGGGCCCCCGAGGGGCCCCTGATGATCGGAGAGCGCGGCAGCCGCAGCATTTCGCTGAAGAGGCACTAAACGCATGCAAATAAAATAAAAAAGAAATAAAATAATTCAAAACTCGAAAGAAAACGGCCTCGCGGTGCTGCGCGTTCTTTCCGCGCGCGCGGGCGCGCCGATTCAGGTGTACAGACACCTCGCGCTTGCGCGCCGGCACCTGCCGCGGATCTTCGGATTTGAATCCTCAAAAGAATAAAAAGAATAAATGAAAAGTATAAAAGGAAAATAAATGCATTTTAACAAAGTATTTTGCAGAATATTCAAAGAAGGCGGGCCCGAGGCGCGGGTCTGCTGCAGCGCGATTGCAGGAATTCTTGAAACCAATCTGCTGCTTCTGAAATGCCATTATTCCATTTTTCAAAAACTTTTTATATTTACATTTATTCCTTTTTATTAACAGCGCATGCATGCATTTACATTTATTTCTTTTTAATACCAGCGCATGCATGCAGAGGGAAGAGAAAAAGAAGCTGGAAGCGCAAAAACTGGCGGCGCGGCGCAGCTCCCCGCGCAGCTAGGGTTTAGGGTTTAGGGTTTAGGGTTTAGGGTTTGGCGCGGACCTCCACCAAGACGTAGTCGAACTGCGGATGGTCCACTGGCACTCTCAAAAGCTGCTCCGCACAAAGAGAAATGTTTGGCAAAAAGTTTCGGAGAATTGTCAAAAAGTAGTCTTCCAGTATCCTGCGGTGTACGTACACCCCAAAACGCAAGCCCCGCATTCAACGCTGCTGCGCCCGAAACCCTAAACCCTAAACCCTAAACCCTCCTCAGCACTAGGCCCTTTTAAACGCTACGCCCTGGACCTTCCCAAACCCTAAACCCTAAACCCTAAACCCTAAACCCTCCCAAAGCCAACCTAGCCCTCCGAAACCCCCCCGAACGCCCCAAAACCCTCCCGAAGCCCAAACCCCGGCCCCACCCCCGCCCCAAACCCCAAACCCTAAACCCTAAACCCTAAACCCTAGGCGGACCACTGGTCATGGGGCGGCAGGGGAATGTCCACTTGCTGCAGCGAAGCCGGCAGCCGCAGCAGGGTTTCCAGGGGCTGCATGCGCGGCAGCAAAAGCTGGGGTTTTATATTTTGCAAAAAAGGAAAGTCCAAAAGGGGGGCCCCCTCTGCTGCAGACAAGAGGGGCCCCAACTCGCTGGACTGGTAGAAACGCAGAGTCGTGCGCGAGTGCCACTCCGCCTGCAACAAACCCTAAACCCTAAACCCTAAACCCTAAACCCTAAACCCTAGAGCCAAGCGGCAAACCCTCAGCCCCGAACCCTGCGCGCCACACGCTGAACCCCAAGCCCTAAACCCCGAATTCGGAACCCCAAACCCCAAACCCTAAACCGCGAACCCTAAACCCTAAACCCTAAACCCTAAACCCTAAACCCTAAACCCTAAACCCTAAACCCTCACGTCGATCATTGAGTCGATTGCATCCAGCAGCGCCGCCAGTCTGTCTGTGGTGCTCAGAGTTGGAGGGGCCTTTGCCTCGGGGGCCTCTCCCTGCCGTTCC